AGACAATGGTCATAGGAAAAAGAAAAATCAATGGAATATGTTGGGGGGTTAGTCTGATGCTTGTAGTTTGATGCTAATTGCTAGCCCTCAAGATCTCCTCACTGCCAGGATACACCTATCCTTGTTGCATAAAGCTGCCTAAGACATTATTCCTAATTGGTTGATTAAAAGGCCTAAAACCTGGGCAAGGAAGAATGGGGTAGGCGTGGCTAAGGTTCCTGGGCTTTGGGAACAGGAGAATCAGTGGAAACAGACAGATGGACAGTAAGAGAGGAGGAAGGAGGACACCAGGATACGTTACTGTGGAGAAGGAACCACGTGGGCCCAGAGGAAAGACTTCAGTAATGGTGTGGAGAGGCCCAGATGAAAAATATAAGCAAGTACTTTTAAGATTATGGATGGATGGTAGGCCAGATAGGAAGGGTTAAACAGATGGCATTGGATTGGGGCTGGGGGTGGATAAGGAGGTTACTAAAATAGCATAAGTAGAAATACCTGCCCAAGGTAAATATAAAATTCAGCAGGTGTCTGTGTCTTGTTAATTGTGATAGTGGGTTAAACAATACCGCTGTAATAATCATAGGGCTAATAATAAACAATACATAACCCAACACGAATTGTATATATTATATCACAACAGGAATAAGAGAAAACATATTAAAATATCATGTATTCTTTCATAAAATGAATGAATGCACTTTAAAAAAAATCACAGAATCTATGAACACATCTTTCTTTTTTCTTTTTATGGGTTTGGTTTTGAGGTTTAGGTAGCCTCAAACTCACAGGGATTCTCCAGCCTCCAGCCTTCCAAGAGGTGGGATTTATAGAACAGGCTCTTCATCCCCACTAAAAACAGCATTCTAGTATAGAATCTAAAATGTTTGAGGTCAGAAGTATTTTAGACATTGTGTTTATTGTTGGATTTTAAAATATGTAATATTTATAGTTAAACAACGCATTCATTTGATGTGGGATATAAATCCAAATATTAAATTCATTATGTTTTACATACACGGTCTGAAGATAATTCTGTACATTTTTATTACAACTGTTTTGACTCTGACTTTTCTACTTAAGGCATCAAGTTTTATATTTTGTAATATTTGGGGATTCTGGATTTTTAACATATATCTGATTTTGGCATATATACCCTTTCGGTAGTTGTAAAAATTTTCACTCCAGGAATCAAACGTAACTGAAGAAAACCAGTCAGTTTTGAGACTGAATTCCTGTCAGGTGGAGTAAGTAGAGCCTTGTGGGGTAGTTACAAAACCATTTCACATGTTTATCACTGGTGTGTGTGTGTGTGTGTGTGTACATATGTATCGCAATTTATTTTGCTTTAATAAAAAAATGTACTAAACTAAGCATTCCCATTTTCCATAATTATTTTTGCCCTTGTTCTTTATACCCGAGTTTCTAGACATGTATTCTTCATAAAATACACAATTGTGGGGAGGGCCTCTGTCTACTCAGAAGTTCCTAAATTCTAGAATATAATTTCTCATATAGGAGGCTTCAAATTTATCTAAGTTTGTTTGTTTGTTTTGTGTGTGTGGGGGTGCTTTAGATTTTACTCCCTTTTATTAAGTCAATGGGAGAGAAACAGAGGGCAAAATGGGAAGATGGCAAGAATCGGGTACTCCACAACCAGTTCAGAGGTTCTTATCTCTCAGGGGTAGGCGTCTAAAGTCAGCAGGGTTTCCTGCTTCCAGAGTTGTAAGCACAGGAGTTTATCAGTGAGTAATAAAGCTCATACTGGGTAATAAAGACTAAGTTTTTAACTCCTTTGAAAAGCATGCACTTCAAAATATTTGTTGGCATAAAATCACATTCTAAGTCCTTGTTTCTGAATTCTCTTAAACTATTCAGAGAACACTGGAAAAGTCATTATGACCAGCCGACACTGATCATCTCAAGAACTGTTACACTGTATTTCTCCCTATAGTCTTTAAGCCAATTTTCATGAGCTAAAATTCAATCTTTTTATCCTTACAGTTTGAAGGAGAGCACTGTGTTTAAATGCTTACACAGTAAGATTTTTTTTTTTTCCAAATTGTTGGGGGCAGGAGGAGGGTTTAACAATGATCTGTCTTGTTCTTTGTTTAAAGGGGAATGAACCGACTCACACAAACATAAGATCATCACAGGCTATTTTAAGCAGATATGCAAATATAAAATTTCAAAACTATGAAACTGTACTTGGCAAAGCATGATTTTCTTTAGGCACTTAAAATAGTTTGCCTAGACTCAAGACAGTCATTTGAAATGGGGTGTCAGCAGAGAGAACACGCCGAAGATAAATACAGCAGTTGGGCCACAGACACTCACAGTGTGTTCGTGTTTCTGATTCCCCAGCAAAGGACAGCACATGCCTGACTACACTGAATGAGCCAGGTTATAACCAGAAGTGTCATGTGGCCCTAAACAACAAGCTGAGGCCAGTCTTGCAGCAACTCAAACATGACAATCTCGTGCATGCTTTTTCACGTAATGGCGCTTCCTCCCAGTCACTCATCATTGCTCTACTCCAGTTTTGTATCAGAGTTTCCTTTACTCCACATATAAATTAAGAATAACTTTCCCTTTATCACCTCTCTAAACATCTTACTTCTCCTCCACGCTATTTCCAGCTTCTATAGGTATATGTATAGTTTTGGCATAAGGTCTGTCTCTTTCCCAGCAGGCTGTCCTTTCCACAGGAATAGAGAATTTGGCTTTCCTCACAGTGCATATCCTCACAGAGCACAGTCAGCAAAGAGCGCAAAGTTGGCACAGTAAGTTCCATTCCATCTTTGGCTGCCACTATTTGCTATCTGTACATCTCGAACAAGATGAGAGTGTTCCATGTCCCACAATACACCATAAAAACTTCCATCTTAAATTGGAGGTGGGTGCTAGAAAGAGTGAATAACCGGAACAAAGGCTTCTGAACAAAGTGGGGTGAGAGGTCGCTTCAGGGAGCACAGTCACTTAGTTCTCAGCCGGATCAGTAACCCTTTACTCTTTCCATACATACATTCCATACATACAGGTGACTGTTTTCTCACAGCTGACAAACACTCGAGTACTTTATCTTTTCCTTTAAACTAATGAGTGGAAGTAAATGAGAATTTACAGATTTGCCTTTGACCCCTCAAGAATTCAGTTCTTGTAATGGTTCCTACCAGTCCTTGCCTCTTCATGTTTACATATCTTGAGCCACATTTGCTCCACTGTTAGGATATTGTGGAAATGAGGGTGCGAGATTTCTCAGGCTAGGCTCTAGGACAGTGACACATTTACACTGATCTATGTCATTGGCTCTAGGCAGCAGGGGTAAGCCAAGGTAGCACCAGCAGCCATGCTGTGAAGAGGTTAAAGCAGGCCTGTGGAAGGTCCAGATGGCAAGGAACTGAGGTTTGTTTTTCCAATAGCTTTACAGTAACTTTCCAACTATATGGAAAAGAATCCATCAGCCTAACTGAAGCTTCAGACTTAGGATCAACCAACTTCTTGACTGCTATCTCATGAGACCCTTAGCCAGAAATAATAAAGTTGCTCCCCAATTCTAACCTTTAGAAATTACATAAAATAAATGATTGTTTTTAGTTTTAAGCTAAATTCTGAGTTATTTTTCAGCAATAGACAAGTAATACAATGTCTTATTACAACAGAAAGAGAACCAGAAGCTAATTTAATATTTGCACTTTCCATCTCCAGTCTATTGGTAGATCTTGTGAGGAAGACAAAGCAAATAATGGTTTCAGTGACAAATAAAATAGGCTTCATCTTGCTTCTATAAGAAACACGCTTGCAGTTTGTCTGTGTATTAAACAGGGGAAATGATTTTCTGAGATAAAAATAGAAGAGAGGACAAAGTTCTGCCCTGAAGATGAGGAAAGGAAAGAGGGGGAAACAACAAAAGCATTGGTTAACCCTGGCTAGCTCACTCTACTTGCTGTCACCTTGTTTAGACAGGTTGTACAGAGGTCCAGCATCCCTATTCCCACAAAAGTGCAATGATCATAATGTGTGGAGAAAGAAAATATATCATATGATAAGGCAGGAAACAGTGGAATGAACCAATAAATAAAAGAAGAAAATCTAAAAAGCAGGCGTGCTCAGGTAAGAGTATTTATAATTACACAATGGCAGTAGAGGTAGCCTTATTTCTTTATACTTCACAGAGACGTTCTCCCAAAAGTTCTTTTCCCTTTTTTGGCATATTACATGTGAAAAATAAAATACTCCAGTTAGATACAGAAATTGGTCAACATGGTGATCGGTAAAAGTCGTAGAATGATTATGTTTTTCTTTCTTTTCCAGAGCTGAAAAGTTTTTTTTTTTTTTTTTTTCTTACAAAAAGTATGCATTCCTTGTAATTTTAAAATCTTTATTCTTAGCAACATTCTGTTGCTTCATTTCCTTTCTGGTCCTCTCTCTAGCTGCCCTTCTACTTTGTAAATTGCACAGGCTAGGAAAACAGATAATGAGTAGTATGGCAATGACCGTTGTCTTTAGCATCTTCCAGATGCCTTGTCAAGAAAGACTAGGAGTGTTACTCCAATGTCTGTTTCTGTTCCTGCCTCCAGATTTCTGTCTTGCGTTCCTGTCCTGACTTCCCTTGTGATGGCCTAAAAATTCTAAGATGAAATAAAGCATTTCCACCCCAAGTTGCTCTTGGTTGTTATACTGTTTTATTACAGCAATAAAAACTGTAGCAAAGCATTAACACAGTTTGTGGCAGTAACTATTTACTGCTGCTTTAAGTGGCTAAAGTTTGGAAGATTTGCGATATGAATTAGACAACTAAGACCACTCTTTCCTCAAAGTGATACAATTGCAAGATTTTTACCACTAATATAAAGGACAAGAGACAGAAAATAGCACACATGAAATTAGAATGTCAATGAAATTTCTTTACATGTAAGTTAGTTTATATATATAAGTGCTAATTTTCAATAAGCAGACAAATAATATATGATATGAAATTGATGTTATAAAATGCCACCTACCCTTAAGAGGATCGTGCTCTGCTCTCATGATATCAATAAGAGAATTTTCCAGAGAGTGCATATTCAAGCTATCATACATTCTACTTCGATCCTAGAAAAGAAAAAGAAAAGATATAACATCTATGTAATTTTAAAGAAAAAGTTAAAGATATTATATGAACTAATCTCTTACATAAAAGAGGATACTTGATTAACACATTAGCACTTGTATCCCAAGAAAATACTGCTACTTAAGGATCTGTCAACTACAATGTCTCTTATTGATGGAGAATATTTAACACGTTCATCACTAAAACATATAAAGATTAATGTGATTTCATTGGCAGTATTAACTACAGTGAAATAATCTCTCTGATCAATTTCTTATAAATATTACACACAGAAAAATTTTCAGTTGCTTCTATTTTTATCATATATTCAGGAAGACAGATATTGGCACTTGGAAAATAAGTATCTTGGAGAAGAATTTAACAATTGCACCACACTTTAAACATCTATCAGACACTTGACTTAAGTGATCCAAATCGCAAAACAACGAATGCATAAACATCCTATACAGTAAAAATCAAATTGAGCACACTAGTATCACAAAAGGATGAATGCCTAGCGTATTTACATTCGAATCTCACTCTCCATAGTGCTTCCACTTTTTTTTTTTTAATCCTCCCTTTCCCAACTCTACTGCAAAAAGGCAAGCACCAGGAGAGGGGAGGAGGAGAGAGAAGGCACTCTCAGCTCAGGTTCCCACTTCCCCAATTCTGAGAATTGCCTTCTGTGTTGCCAGCAGTCTTGTATGCTGAAAGCACAATCCCCTTGCTTGCTTGCTTGCTTGCTTATTAGGAGGCACTCAGTTCTTTGGTGCCTATAAATTTACACTATATTTTGCTCAACACATACTCAACAAATATGCAATAAAGTATGTGGGTAACTAGCCAAACAAGCTTAGGTCCATGCCCTCCAAAGTCTGGAAGTCTTTTCCCAAAATATTTCAACGGTATTCCCTCCAATTTTGTTGTATGCATGAATGTAAAAATTCACGTACATGTGGAGCAAGCAGGATAAGCCAAAACTCTCAAAATGATCAGCATGGCAAACAAGAAAAGAATCAGAAAAGTAAGCCCACACACAGTTTCCACAGAAATCAAAGTAAAACAAAGGTTAACCTGGACCAACATGTTTCAAGTTATACTAGAAGTTTTCTAGGATTTTATGCACCCACAGGTAGATTTACATATATTGTTTTCTTTTTTAAAAAAAGTTTATAGCATTCATAATTTTCCTAAGGGAACAAAAATCCAGAAAATAGCCAGAACTAGGTCTTTAGAAAGCTAAAGAAAAACATAAGGTTTGTTTATTTATTCTCCTTTGATGTTTAATTAGGGTATATGCTTTTTAAAGCCAGGGAGCCAGAATCAGCACTGTAGACTAAACAAGGTGCTATCAAGGAATTAGGAAGAGTAAGCAGTAACAGTGAACCATGCAAAGATGCTAGAGAAGTTTATGTTCTACCTTTATCACCAACGACCTACAAGAAAGATCCTAAACACACAACATAACATCTATCATGCTCTTCTCTAGAACAAGTAAACTTGATAAGGGAGACAGACCAAAAGAATCAAGGAAATGTAGCAGTGCCTTCCAAACTTGAACATGCTTCTCCTGAGTCTGACCCAGCCATTGGTAGGTGACAGTGAAGCTACTGTCCAGACCATATTATAGACAGCATTAAGCTTTGCGATCTTCTACGCCACAGAATATCTTTATACTGCGGCTCTGTCTTCTAGAAAATACCCTTATCAGACAAAATGGTGCCTATAGGCCACTTAAAATCATAGGGGAAAAAAGATCCAACAGTATTGCAACAATAGATGACATAAAATGGGAGAGAAGGTGGCCTTTGTGCAAACGAGACCTATATGGTTATTCGTGTCTCCATTTTCTCATACCTGTTTCTACTCTACAGTGTGCACAACCAATGGATTTATCTTCCTGGAATCTACAACTAAACTTCTAAAGTAGTTAAGGCTAGGGTCCTTCTAATCACAGACATCTAGCTCTCAAATGAGTGTAAAATGAATACTTTTCTATCTCTACTATACTGCTTGAGTGTAAAGACTACTATTAAAATGTTAATTATAAAAGACTAAATCTCAAAATCTTCTATAGAATCTGCTAATTGACTAAACTGGGGCAAGAATCAGATACCAAAATAGCTCTGCTAGCAAATTTCTTGCTACTGAATGAAAGACATGCTACAGTTGAGAACTATCTTTTCAAGACAACAGCTTAAAACAAATCATATTTAGCTATAAAATAAATGTGTTCTTCGAAAATAAGGGAACAGATTTATTCATCTAACTTGTCATCACTTTAAAACTATAAGGAAGACTTGAGGCAATTCAGAAATAAAGAGAAGTACAACAGTCCTGACGCACTCACAAATACAGAAGTTCATGGCAATGAATCTTATATTTATCATTACATGGGTATCTAAAAATCATTAAGACACCTCAGAAAAAATCAGACTCTGAAGAAAAGTTCAAATACAACCCATTTTACAATATGAAAATGATATGGCAATAAATTACGTGGATTTTTACAGAAATAAGACAACAGTCCTACAGTAACAAGAAAAAAAACAGAATAATTGAAAATGCATAGTCCCCTCTTTAAAGTCTACTGTTTATGTTACCATTTTTTCTTTACCCACACATTAGGCACAAGCCCATGTGGGAATAAAAAGGTAGGCAGGTAATATTCCAAAAAATATTCCAGGTAAAGGACTAAGGCTAAAACGGAAAATACCCTGTGCAAGTGCCCACTGAGCAAACACGGCTGCGAAAGAACATTCTTCTTCAGAGCTAGCCATATGTGAGCCTGAAGCTCCCTACATTCCTGAAGTCCAGGCTCCCTGAAGCGGGGGCCACTGCGTCAACACATGCTGGTCTTGCTCTACGACCATACACTGCTCCGTCAGGAGGCCCGTCAAAGAGCCATGTGACATATTTTCTTAAAACAACATCTCCAAAGTGTGAGTCGTTATTACTTCATATCAGTTTGAATGTTTGATTGTTGGAAAATATCTCCAATTAATTCCAAGTAATTTCCACTATACACAGCAAATATCCAATACTGAAAACATATAAAACTGCCCAGCAGGTAGCAGACCAGCAAATACTGATAGGTTTTCTCAGGGCGTACTGCGGAAGTGCCACATATAAAATCAATAAACAACCTTAGATAAAAAGGAAATTTACTTTGATTTAAAACATCTAAGTGCTCACAAATAAACACTGTGATTTAAAAAAAAAATCTCATTGAAAATTCTATTTTGAGAAAACTAATAAACAACAGTTCTGAGCATGGTTTCTTACGAAATGCTAAGAGCATTTTCAAAGTAACAAATTTTGGTCACACCTAATGTATTTCCATTTCACAGGTGATAATGACAGGGACATCCCAAAGTTGAGAGCATCCTGAGCTACAAAGTAAGATACTATTCTCAGAAGCAAAGAGAAAAACAAAAGAGAAGATTTTGCTTAAGAGAAATTAGGAGAGAAATCTAAGAAGGGGGCTGGTCAGGTAGCTCAGCTGGTATGGTGCTTGCCTCACAAGCATGAGGTCTGATCCTCAGACACATGCAGGATACGGCATTCTGGAGAGTTCTAGTAATCCCAGGGCTGCAAGGTGGAGATGGGAGGATTCCTGGGACTCACTGGCCAGTAGGCCCTGCCTAATTAGTGAGCTCCAGGCCAGCAAAAGACCCTGTCTCAAAGGATATGGGCGGCAATCCAGAAGGATGACACCTCATCATCCTCATCCTCATATGCACACACACCTGTAAACACATGCATACATACATGCACTTAAAAAAAATAATTACTAAGTCAGAAATGTGCACAATTTACATATGCTTTAAAAAGGTCTTAAATTTGAAGTTTTTTTCATGCAATTTTTTAAATTAAAAATATCAACCCATAAAATTTTACTGAAAAAAAAAATGAAATAAATTCACATGAAAATATTTTTCCATTTACTACATCCAATTATGTGTTCAGATTTTGTCATAGGTCACGGCTGATTGTACCCTGGATTAAGATGTTAGGTCTGTAATTTATTATATTGTAGATTTGATTCATTTCAGACTAAAGGAAATAAGTTAAATGGTTTAAAATAATGTACTTAATATTAAAAACTGTAGGATCAAAAAATTAAAAAAAAGAACCCTTCTCAGATATTTAAGTGATTAAGCATTATAAATATTTTAATTTTTCTGAATATTGAGATTACTTCACATTTTGTTTCTGGCGCCAGTTTACATATCCTCTTTTGTGTTTTTAAGAATTCCAAATACCACAAGCTTTTGTGGAAAGATGGACTCAGAACAGTGTGTAATAATGACCATCTGAATACTTAAAGAAGGCAAATGAGGTTATATATAAATATACTTGCATTGTCTTAAGGCTTTAGTCTCCCCTCCCCCACAGATCCTACGCCCATTATATTATTAAAAAAAAAAAAAAAAATGCAGGCTGGGGGTCAGAAGGACTGAAAGACCAGGAAGGAAAAGAAATGCCTACACAGATCAGAGATCACGTAAAAGCTGGCCTGCAAAGGTTTTACATGGCATAATTCAAGGTCCTCCTTTATAGATGAGGCTATGACCTACAGGTCAAAGCCAATAACCTGTGGTAAAGAATGCAAGGAAGATGACGATTCAGGTTTTGGACTGTCTTTCCTTTCAGTTCAGTTTAATTTCCATCACCTCCTTTGATCCAGCACTGAATTCACCTCACATCACACTTCTGTACAAATACTAATTGCTCAACAGTTTACCAGAAAGTATTATCTGTAAGTAACACACACATACACACACACACAAAAAAAATCTACCTAACATCCTAAATTATAAAACAGGCAAAAGTGCAGTGGCTTTGAAGTCTAAGTAGGAAGGCTAGAACATCTTACTCCTGTCAGTCCAGGAACTGAGTCTGAAAATGCCTCTTTCACAGTCACCTCCATCTACTCTAGTGGCAAGAGCTCAACTAAACACTGCAAGCCCCACCCACCCTGACTCATAAAGGCTGCTGTGTCACAGCAGAGCCCACTGCTTTTATACTTACACTTGAAATAATTATGTTCTTTCCTCTCTGAAAATATTTCCCCTTCCACCTTCAAAATAATTGCAATCACTTTTCTCTCCCAACCTAACTTCTTTAAAGCAATCATGGATTCAGTCTGAAGAATATGACAGTGCTACCATAATACAAGTGAACTGGGACCGAGTGAAAAAGAGAATAGAAGCGGATGAGTGGCAAGTTTACACTAACAAGATAACGAGCTGAAAAAAAACAAGACAACTACTATTTTTACGCTGAGACCCCGGAAGGACAACTTTGATAAAGAGGACGGGCTGTCTAAAACAACAGCTAATGACTGATTATTCAAGTCAGTGTCAGTCCTCCAGATTAGAAGGCTATTTATAAAATGTTTTGCTATTAATCTGCCTATACAATCTTTGAAAATTCAGTTCACATTAATAAATTACTTGAGGAAGAGCCTTAGCTTTGGATTTCATAGCTCCACTCACTTAACTTACAAAATTTTAAAATGAAGGTTAAACTTGGGCTCTATAAGAAAAGCTCCTCAAATATAAGGACTGAGGTTTTTATGTCCTCATATAATAATCCTCATCACCTGGTATAGTATATATTTAAATTCAGTCTGCAAGAAAGATAGATAGGATTTTTAATTCAATCATATTGAAGATAATTTGTAATATATAAGCAATCATAAATGTAGAATAAAAAAAATACTATACCATAAAGCTTTTTTTATAAAGGTTAAAAGAAAAAAAAAAAAACACCTAAATTAAAACAGGTCCTTTTCAGAGGTATATCTCAAAACAAATGCATCAGACTTCATGACAAACATTTACTGGAATATTTCTTGAAACATGAAATGTAAAGCTGAGTGTTAAATACACAATATTATATTTTAATTGCGGATAAATCTGAGAGAGAGACAGTATCTGTTTAGTTTGACTGATGTTTAAAGTCAGGTGCTCTTGGATATATAATTAATTTATTGTAATAAAAACAAATTTGTTATGATTTCAAAATATGACTACAAATCTTTTAAATTTAAAAATAAATGTACTAAAAGATTTAAATCAAGTGACGTTTAAAAACTAAATTGGTTTACTAATTTCTGACATATGCTTAAATGGCATAATTGAAAAGCAAATGATCACTCCTATCCATCATGTACACACTAAACTCCTAACCGCGACCCTGAGAAACACACACTGTGCAGCCTACCTGGTCTATTCTGGATGTTCCGGCTGCAGTGCACCAACTATCTTGGAGTGAATCTGAGCCCCAAGCTGGCAACTGCAAACTAGATCTCACCTTCAATAGCATAGAAGTTTGCATCAGAAATGAGCAGTTTGCTTTCCCATCCCACCCAAGAAAAAAATAAAATAAAACAAATAAAAGAAAAAAGAAAGAAGAAAAGAAACGAGAAACAATCAAAGTTCTTTCTATCTTAAATTTTTGTTTCATTCTCTAAAGGTTTTGAGGAAACTTGAACCTCATTTGTGAGAGTCACAAAATATTAACAGGCCCGAAAAAAATGATCACTGTTAATGTTAGGATATATCTTTAGTGGGGAAAATCACATACATAGGTATATTTGTAGTCACTGAACCAGTGGAGATAATTTGAATTAGATTCATAGTCTTAATATTATTGTCCCCCAATCACAGCTGTATTAAGAACATTCTAATATATAAACAGCTGACCACAGAAAAACCTATGCATACTTGCGGTTACATAATTTTTATTTTAGATATATTATCAGAAAGACAAATTTTGGTTGTCTATTAATCAATAACTAACTCAGGCATTTTTAAGGAACTGCCACTTAAAGGCTTTAATTTCTATGAAAGAAACAGTTTTTAAAATGTTTAGAAGCTTATTTCCATGCATTGTGTATTTACAGAGAAAATTCTTACATCTCTGTTTTGCCCTTTAATAATTAAGTGACACGTTTAAAAAATCAGTATTTGAATTTTGTTAATCTTCCTATACTGCTGCTGCTGCCTCCACCACCCCACTTCCTATTTTGAAAGATAAACATTAGAAATAAGGACATTTACATACCATTCTTACCTGTAAGGGTAAGAGTGTGTTACTATTGTTGTCTGTCCTGAACACATTATCTTCAATCCAAGATTTTGGAGTCAGTGATGGAGTAGAGCGAGTAAATTTCGGTGGTGCTATAACATTACCAGAAAATGGTTTCTTCAGTGGAGATATCTGATTCATAGTCCCTGGAATTCCCATGTTTCCACTTCTACGGTGATCTCTGCCATGCATTGCTCCCCAGGACATGCTTGCAGTGCCCCAACCACTGCTCTGATGGTTGCTCCAAGGAGACTGTTTCAGTAGAGGCTGAGAAAAACACATCTACTTAAATTACGGGCCTTAGAGAGTGTAAAATTCAAATTTTAGAACTAAGAAGTTAATGAGACCATACACACACACACACACACACACACACACACACACACACTCGCCAAGATAATGATATTTCTTTAGTTGCTTACAAAAGGAAGTCTTGGGGTCTTGCTATTTCGATCCTATTTACTTAAATGTTAGGAAAGTTTTCGTCGTCCTCTCTATATAACAGTGTTGTCTCATGACAGTTACTAAAACCCACTTTAAAGCTGAAGTTAGCTTCGAAGATTCTTAAAACAACCTATATTCTACTAGTTAAATTAGTATTAGTTAAATGGTCTCAATGATCTCAGTTATGGGAGCAAAATGTTTTGCTTCCCAAACAGCTCGGGCTACTATGAAAAAACAGTGGTAACATTCAGTGTGAATTGAAGATACCTTTAAGAATAGGTCAGCACAAGAAAAAATAATAATAATTTTTCTAAATATTTAATTTACCTTTTAAGGTATTTTATTCCAATTTTCTTTCAATATTCTATTTCGCTTAACTATCTTTGAACTGTTAAGTAATTATCTGATGCTGCCTATAGGTGGATCCACTGAGATACATAATAAACAACCTCAGGCTTTGCTTATTTTTAGTAATCTTAATGGAAGTCTGTTAAGTTCACTGACATTCAAAAGCAAATTATATTCCAATTTAGAGCTAATGGCAAGAAAAGTCATCAAAAATGGAAAATTCACAATATAATACTTTGAAAAAAATGGAACTGTGAATTGCTAGTATGTCTACTGTTGATAAGCTAAGACTAATTTTTCTAAGATTTAGGCAGTGGAAACACAGGTCATGTCTTTTCTAAATCTCAATAAATATGGGAATCCTAAAACTCAAGATGTTTCTTCTAAGAACAACTAACAACTCGACACCCAGTACCTACGGATGCTACAAGAGGCTTTTAAAATGCTAATGTTATCATGCACACACACACACAGCTCCCTCCTCCCTTTACATAGCTGAAAAGCACAGTCAAGGAGCCAGGGCACAATTATCCCATGCACTAGAGCCTTATTTTGCCTACTAAATGACGCACAGTTCAAAGTTCTTTTCCAGTGACCTAAAATTCCACACGAAAGCCGTGTGAACTCTTACACTCCGAGGTAAGTAAGACCTACTTCTCTTTGTTTATTGGAGCATGTTGCAGTTAAATACGAATCACGGCATTATGCCCTGCTAACGTTCTATTTTGACTTTGGAAATTCAAAATTACCTATACATTTCCATGGCAAACTTCCAGTTAAAAAAATGAAGAGCCAGACAGACAAAAGTCAGTTGCTCAAGATCATATAAAGCACGGGAAATGGTGTGTCGCCTCAAAGTCGATATTTTCCTTCCTTTTAGAAAGTCACATTCCCCATTCTTGGGGAGAAAACAGCAATCCAACAAAACTGTTAACTTTTCCTTGGATTAATTCTGACGGACTGTCTGCTGTTATTTTGGTTAATTTAAACAGCATGCATTCTTGAAAACTTTGGTCAACAGAAAAGTTGTGAGAAGAACCAGCTAATATCAAATTGGGGTTCCACGACATACCTAACCCCGACACTGGATTTAGAATGATCACCGTAATAAATGCTAACTTCATTAAACAACAACAACAAAACTCTCAACATCAATGAACTCAGCGGCCACCCAAAACCTCTACTGGGAGGAGGTGGGGGGTCCTGGTTCGGGGTACAGGCTAGGCAAGAGCCAGTACGGGGTCACTTCATAATACCAGAGATCCCCGATCCCCGGCACACGCCCATGTGGAGAAGTCCAGGAGGAAACACGCTAATCCTAGATTCGAGGGTGCCTCGGCCTTCAAGCCCACAAGATGTGAGCGAGAGCCCCGCGGCCGCCAGTCGCACGCCGCCTGACAGTTCCTCCCGGTCCCTGACAGCCCGCCGCGGCGGCTGCAGGTGCCGCCTCGGCTCCCCCGGCCCGCCCGGAACTAACTCCGGAGGGGCTCGGCCCCGGGCTCCGGCGCCCTCGGGGCACGGCCGGGAAGGACTGGCCCGGCCCGCCTCTCCCCGCCCGCCCGGCCGGAGCGCGCTGCCCGACCCCGGCGCAGGGCGCTCGAGGGGGCGGCCGGCGCACGACCCCGCGG